AAATGGGGTTGAACCTGTAACGCGATGGAGGCAGCACACTCATGGAGGTGTTCCGACATGTGCAGTGGTGGTTTGGACTGGTGGCCAATAACTTTTACTCGTCTTTCGTGGTGGCTGGCTGCAGCACAAACAAGCTAGCTCGATTTAATGGCGTCTGCACGTGGTGGCCTTACGGTGGTGCTCTGGTGTGTGCATTGGTGGGTGGATATCGGAACCGGCGGTTGAGGTTCACATTATGGTGGCATTATGGTCTGAATTCGTTAAAATCAGAATCGGAGTACATGGGTAAAAAAAACACCATAGGTTAGGGGGAAATCTTTTTTTTCGGTTGTTAGTGCAAATGTGGATTGACTGGAGAATTTTTTTGCAGGGAATAAATTACGATACCTTATACCAAACATGGACAAAAAACATTCTCCACCCCACTTCCCCATCATTTTTTTAGGTGTATTTCCATGAATGATAATTCATGGTTTTGACAATTTCAATTTAAAACCTAACTATTATTTAAAAAAAAAACTCAATTAAAAATGAAGAATTATGATAAGATATGTTTTCATATCAATGTCACGCTAGGTACAGGGCGTGAGCTTAAAAGGTATTTACTAAATGGAACAGTGATGCTTGTATGTAAAACGTAATACGATTTTTTAATAGAAATTAACATGATGTATGAATTCATTTCATTCACAATCTAAAAAATTCTGAAGAGTAAATATTTTTTTTGGTCTTCAGAAAATTTTACGATGCCTCTTTTAGTCCCTAACAAATAAAAAGGTCCATCGTGGTCCCTAAAAAATTCAAAATGGACCCATTTTAGTCCTTTTGAGGACTAATATGGGTCTTTTTTGAATTTGTGAGGGACACGATTTCAACTAAATGAGTCAATTTTGAATTTCTTAGGGACCACGATGGACCTTTTTATTTGCTAAGGACTAAAACGAGCCTCATGAAATTTACTGAGAATCAAAAAAGATATTTAGTCAAATTCTGAGCGAGTAATTTTGTTTACGTACCCAAAGATTCTTTTCCATCCAACTTTTTCCTTCTCATAATACATAATAAAATAAAGAGGGAGTGGAGAAAATGTTTGGTATGGAGTAGAGAAAATTTGCTTAGGAAAAAAATTTGATAAAAAATTTTTTGTAGTGTGAAATTGAAGGAAAATACCTACTTGGGAATACCACACATTGACCGTGGTATTACTATTTTGATTTCTCCAGCAAACTCAATCTTATAGCAATTTTACATCAACATTTTTTTGATAATATTTCATCCTATCAAATAATTTTTTTTTAAAACTTTCTCAAAAAAATTATGTTCCCATCATTTCCTCGATAATTATATTTTCGTGATAAATTTTTTTTCTTTAAACGCCCCTAAATCAAAACCTGCCGGCAGATGTGGGCCTGTGTGGTTTCTCGCTTTCTTTCTAAGGAAACGAATTAAATGAATCCCACCACTTTCTCGTATTATTTTTTTAAGGGAAATAGTAGTCTCATGTTGTAGGAGACTACTATCTTATGTCATAGATACTTCGATAAGTGTGTTGCTATTTTTTTTCTTTTTTTTTCTTTTTTTTTAGTGGTGGGTCCTATCATTTTGTGTCTTAGCATGAGATATGCTCTCTTCTCCAACATGAGAGTAGACAAACTCTTTTTTTAAACCAATTTAAATTAAACCTAAAACCGTTGTAGTTGTTCTTCTGATTCCCAATTCACAAAATTGAAGTTATAACAATGTTTTAGGAGTAATCACACAACCTCAATAAATAGCATGAACGGACGGGGGATTGTATATTTATTTTTCAATTACGTATGATCCACCAGGTAATCTTCAAAAAGAAAAAGTTATGCAATTAATGTTGATTTGTTTGGATGATTCGTCTTTTATATTTGATTAAGCTAAGATTATTCATTTTCGCAAGAGTGATCTTACGTGGATGAATTTTCTGACAGCTTGGCACGTCATATACACCTGAGCAGTGGTTAATGCCACATTCTCAACTTAGGGAAGCATTTTTATTTCTTGTACGGTAACGGTATTTGGAATTGGAACAAATTTTATGTTAATTGAGGTTAAGTTATTTCATGAACCATTTTAAAGGAGTAATTAAGTTACAAAGCAAACCCCTTTTTTTAAAATACTATATACTAATTTCATGATAAAAAAACTAACTTTACATTGCATCAGTGGCTCAAAACATAAGTTCAAAATACATACCATACGGTAATTCCTTATCCAAGCCTACATTCCTTGCATTAATCCACACTACTACCAAATACAACATATATCTTCAAACACTTAACATCATTCTCCACCTTAACAAAATTTCTAGTTTTATTGTATTGTATTGTATTGTATATATTATCAATTACTTATTTTTCTTATGTACATATTATAATGTATAAATATTTAAAATAAACTGATGAAAAATAAATATATCATTTTTCTTCAACCATTAGAAGACAAAGAGTGGGAGCTCATAGTGACAATTTGGGATGGTATATGGGTAAAACAAAATGTAGCCGGAGTGGCGAAGCATGTGCCAATGTTTCCCATTGTGGTCTTGTTGACCACATTACATGAAGCATTCTATAATGCTTTTAGTATTCTCAAGTCACACAAAATGTGAGCCAAACCAAAAGTAGGAACTTTTTAAGTCATCGTGGATGTACCAGCAAAATGTGACCCTAAAAATCTTTTAAAATGGAAATGACGATTAAATTTGAGGTTCAACAGTGATTAATCCGGAAATTATATGTTATCTAAGATATCATGTCACCTAAGAGAATTTTAACCATCCATGCACAAATTTATGGTGATGATTTTATTACTTCTTATCTCAATTTTTTCTCTCTCATCTTTTATCATAATTTATTCATCTTTCTATGACTAGGATATATGATCATGTTAAACACATGAGATGATTCACTTCTGATTAATTCAGATATTTTTCCAACTGAAAAAACATAACCGTTTTAAGATGGTTTTGCTAGGAAATTTAGTTTGGTTTTTAAAATAGATAAGTGTTATATTGATAATTTTTGTTTTTTACAAACTTACAAACTTTATTATGTCTTACCGGTAAGATTTTATTTAAGAGTATCTTACGGATAAGACATAGCATAATTTGTAAGAGTTTGTAACAAAAAGTTCGTAAATATAACTTTTTCTTTCAAAATATGGGGAAAGTTTTTATCTACAAGAGAAAACATTGTCTCATGTTAAGACCCATCAAAATTTGAGCCATATATATTTTTGGGTTTTATAAGAGTTATGTTATAGGAAAAGTAACTGTGTAATGTTATAGAGATTCGTTTTGCATGCCATAATTTTTTCTTCTTCAAAAAGTGTGAGCTCCACAAAATATTGTGTGTGTAGGAAAGTTTGTTATGTCATGTTAAATGACAAATGCAAATCCCTATATTTTTTTAAGGGAAATACTATTCTTTTGGAGATAACTATCTTATGTGGCAGAGAGAAGATGAATAAATCCCACCATTATAAGAAAAGAAAAAAAGGTGCCAAAATCGAAGTAAAAGAACATGAGAAAGGTTATCTTTTAGAAAAGTAATAAAACCTTTTTTTTAATTATGAATCCACCTAATTATATCTCTACATGATGAGAAAAACATTTCTTAAAACATTGATGATAAAATCTTTCCTAAAATTCTAGAATGTTCTCCTAATATTTTTGTCTTCCTAAAAGATTTGAGTTCACAATAAATTTTATAATATAAATATGTTTTAAATAATTATTTTCTCCCCTATTTTAATTTTGATCCTCGAGAAAAAAAATATTTTTAATACTCTCAAAATATTAAATACTAGGTCAATGAGTTACTAAAGTTAAAATAGTTAAATCACAATAACATTTATTTCATGCTTAATATCACTTGAGTCTCACATTTTATTACTAAAAGTGAAACAACTATAACAACACTAAAAAATAAAAATAGTGTGCTCTTGGGTGACTTGTTTATCACTATACCCAATTATTATTGCTAAGATTATTACTCAGAAAGAAAAATTCTATATAATAAGTTATTATTTGATAAAATAATATAAACGAAAATGACAATATACGAAATGTTGGTGGCTTTTATTGACAGACTGATGAATCAAAACAGATATTAAAAATGGTTCGCTTTTTTTTACATAGATAAGTTATCTGCAATAAGTTTAATACGACATCGTTTTGGAACGAAATAATGATATTTTTATAATTTTAATTTATTTTAGAGTTATTATAGTCGTTATAATTATAATTTTTTAATTTTTTAATCCTAAAATAACATCATTTTGAAAGTAAATGTAAATAATTTATCTGCAATAACTGCAGAAATATTATTCTGATTAAAAAAAATATAAAGAATAAAATAAACACATAATTTTAGATAAGAAGTAAGAAGCAGAAGAAAAAATAATTAAAGGAAAAAAAAAATGTTAAAGCTTTGGATGGAGTGTTAAGCAAGACAATTTATAATATAGTGCTTGTTTCAATTTGCTTTTTGTATGTGTTGTTGTGCAGTGACATATATATGTATAAATATAAGGAAAAATAGAAAGCCCATAGTGTCTCTTCTTGCTCCAGCTTTAATGGCGTGTGAGACTACGCTGAGTGTGTACCCTTACGGTTCTCAGTAACCGCATGTGAATCTTCAATATTTGCATGCTTCACCAACTCCTCACAAACAATACCCATAACCCAAATAATATGATTTTCTGAAAATGCAAATGCAAATGCAATTGAAATTCTCATCACAAAGGAACCAACTTTTTGAGTTTTTTCAACCTCTGAACCTAACCCAGATGGCTAAAGAGTCGTAATCTTTCATAGGGTTCTGTTTTTCAGTCTCATTGAATCGATATCTCAAATGGGTTTTCTGATTCTTGGACTGCTGTGAGTTTCCTTTCTTGTTAATTTTTCTTCATCCTTTTTTTCTTTTTGTTCTTTCATTTCTTTTGTTGGTTTCTTGGTGTGTGAAAGCGTTGAGATGGGGAAAGAGATGATAGAAAACGTGAATGATGATGGGGAGCTTGAGGAGCTTGAGATGTTGCTGAATGAGATCCCTCAGGCAACATCACACAATCTTGTTAATCTTTACCATAGGAATGGACATGATCATGGTGGTGTTGATGATGATCATGGTCCTTTTGTGACTGAGGCAACCCATAAAATGGGTTGTATGTATGATGATGACCCATTAACTCAGATTCAGTATCCATTTGCCTCATCACCTGTCAGTGGCTTCTCTTTGCAATCTGATGGCTCTTCCTCAAGCTTATTCTCTGTTGGGCATGCCTTATCTGACACTGGATCACCATCCCCTCCTACAGTGGAGGATCTTAAATCCACCATGCCTTCTGGAAGTTCTTGTCTCTCAAATCGTTTCTGGTTGGATTCAATGACACCTGATTCAACTGTTATGAAGGCCTATGAAAGCTTGGTTGATGAACTAGGCATCTGTGCCAATTTGTGTCAAATGTACATCAGCAATCAACAAGAGAATCGTTATGATTCCAAAAATGCTTCAATGGGCATGAATAGGCTTCCATTTCCTGATAGTTCCTTAAATGGAAATAGTCCAATCAATGCTCATAAACATGGGGATTATTACAATTTCAAGAGAGGTTTTTTAGATGGTGTGGGGGTTCAATCCCCACTTCCCAGGAGTGCTATAAATCATGATGCTGAAATGAATTCAGCATTGTCAGGATTAACCCATAATTATGGAATGTCTAATTTGTTTGGATCAAGACACTGTGCCAATAGGCCTGAGACAATACTTCCTCAATTAAATGGCTTTAGTGCTTCAATAGATTCTCCAATGCACAGAAGGAAGCTGATAAATAACTACTATTATAGAGGAAATCAACCACCAGAACCTACTGCTTCTTTGAGCAGAAATCCAATGGATGATGCTTTCCTTTATGCACAGAAAAATGGAATGAATATAATGGAAGAAACGGGCATATCAAGATTACCTAGCTCTTCCCATTGTACTAATTTAAGACCTCACTGGAGTGTTCAAAATTTACTGCAGTATAACCATTCTCTGTCTAATAATGCAAGAGCTGTGCCACCTTTAAATGCTAGAATCCCTCAAGGAAATATAGATGCTATTACAAGTGAGGGAAGCTTCATCATACAAGGTGAAGGTTCAAATTATGTTGTTGGCAGAGGTTTGGATCGATCAAGGTGTCAGAGTAAGGCTGCTGAACGAGAAACTGGCTTTGCTAAGCATATACAAAGATCAGAGCTAGGCATGCGGTGCCAGGTTTTAGGAACTCATGAAATTCATAAGAGTTATAGCACTGGCTGCTCATTTCCTTTGCCATCCAAGTACAATTCCCTAGCTGAAGCTCGAGGATATGTATATTTAATGGCCAAGGATCAGCATGGCTGTAGGTTTTTGCAAAGAATGTTTGATGAGGGTACCCCAGAAGATGTTCAAGTGATATTTGAGGAGATCATTGATCATGTAGTGGAACTTATGGTGAATCCTTTTGGAAATTACCTTATGCAGAAGTTATTGGATGTATGCAATGAAGAACAGAGGACACAGATCCTACTAATAATTACTGAAGAACCAGGGCAGCTTGTCAGAATCTCTTTAAACACTCATGGGTAATGGTGCAACTTGTGCAAGTACTGAAATTTTATATTGATTTTCTGGTATTGAATTTGACATTACTTCTTTACTTTTTTTTATTTTATCAGCACTCGTGTGGTACAGAAGCTGATAGAGACTCTCAAGACTAGGCAGCAAATTTCATTAGCCGTATCAGCTCTTGAACCAGGATTCTTGGCTCTCATCAAAGATCTAAATGGAAACCATGTAATTCAGCGTTGCTTGTTATGCTTAAACAGTGAAGATAACAAGGTGTGACTTCTATCTTTCTCAAAGTATATAAAGCTTATAGATTGGATAATAATCTTGTACATGAAGTTGTTATGAGTGAAAAGAAATATGTGTGCTTATTCCACTCTTGTTTCTGTTTTATAATTTTTTTTATCTATGTTAACTGATCATCTCGTGAAATAGCAACACTTGCAAATTCATTGTGAAAATTCTCTTACAAATTCACTCCATTCGGAAAGTTTATCTCACTTCTTCCTGAACATGCAACACTTTATTTTGATGTACTAAGCACTGAAATTTCAAATTTTTATTGCACCTTTATAGTTCAGTTTTCACTTATTATCATTAATAAAAATTTGCAAAATCTTTCTTTCAGTATATTGGAAGGCTTTTTATTCTCTTTTAAAAGAATCCATATTACTGGGAAGCATTTGAGGGCATGTGCTATTCTGTATGGTAGATAGATATAGTAGCTTAGCTAAATTTTTTAAACCTTTGTTTTACTTTATTCTTCCTACATATATAATGTCTATCAAATGAAAAATTGGGGACATACCTTTCAGCTATGCTCCTGTGCTTTTTATTTAAGTCAGAACATTATAATTGATAGTAGTGCCAGGTTCATCAACACAGACATCATGATATCTATGCGTCTGGAATGATTTTTTGTAATTGTAGTCACATTATAAATTTAACATGCTATGATAACTGATCATCTCATGTGAAGTAGCACCTCATTGTTTTCTCACAGATCTATCCATTCTGAAAGTTTATCACACTTCTTCCTTAACATGCGACGCTTCATTTTGATGTTGTAACCTCTGAAATTTCAACTTTGTTGCACCTTTGTAGTTAAGTTTTATTTGTTATTATTAATAAAAATTTGCAAAATTGTTGTTTCAGTATATTGGAAGGCTTTTATTCTATTTTAAAAGGATACATATTACAGGGAAGTGCATCATAATGTCTATGCATATGGAATGATTTATTTCTTGTCACTTCGTCCACTTCCTCCCTTTGTGCACAGAAGAGACTGACACTTTGATATGCATAATGACACTTTCATATAAGCATGCCAAATTGTCTGGCTTTTTTACTGTGATTATAATAATAATAATGGTGATTTAGTAAATGATGTCTATAAATTTTAAATGTCATTATGTGAAAGACGTGGCCACATTTATGTGGTTCTTGCCATCATAAATAAAACATGCTATGCTAGCAATTTCTAGGCTACCAAAGTTTGAAATTCTTTTGTTCAGTGGACTAAATTTGTTAAATTTTCTTCAATTTTCATTACCAAGACCAATAATGGACTAAATTTGTATATATGTTATGTGTAGCTTTAAGATTCCCATTCTGTTTTGGAAAAAAACATTTGAATTGATCAATGATGTTTAAAACAAACACCATTCTAACAACCAATGCCTACGTCAACAGAAACATCGCTTGTGAAGGGTTATGAATTCAAGACCTAGAGAATCCAAGTACATTTGTCTATTAATTAATTTAAAATTTAACAAACTAGATTTTTCATGGCCTTTTCTTCCATTGTAAAACTAATGCATATAGGATTATTAAGGTGCATCAACATTACAAAGAGTTGGGATCAATGAACAAAAAAACAATTAGTTTGTGATGATCTGGGGTGAAGGGCTTGTGAATTATGATTGAAGTGGTGTCTACTTTGGTGTATTTAAGACTAAGTTTATAGTACGCAATTAAAAGGTTTCATTAAACATACATCCCTATTTTATGTTTACATTTCCTAAGTAAAATGTATGGCCAAAGTTATGATATTTTTTTTTATATGTCCTCTTAGTTCAATTGACAGCGGTGCTAATTGATTTATACAGGTCAATTTGTGGCAAATTTATTTTTTGTGCTTGTCTTGACTCATGATTGAACTGTGATGAAATGTAGACTAGATGTGCAAAGATTGATATATCCTTGCAGAAAAGTTACATTTCCCCTGTTATTTTCCCTGAGCAGTTTATATTTGTTGCTGCTGCAAAGTATTGTGTTGACATTGCAACTCATCAACATGGATGCTGTGTTCTGCAAAGATGTATTGCCCATTCAAGCGGGGAGCATCGAGAAAAACTGATTGCAGAAATATCTGCTAATGCACTTCTGCTAGCTCAAGATCATTACGGGTAACTATTGGAGACTTATTACTTGGTTTATAAAGCATAGAAATGCTTTCATGTATTTTTTTTTCTTTATAAGAATATCTACTTTCCATCTGCAAACATGTGTTTTCTGTTCTGTTCCAGAAGCAAAAATCTTAGCTGTAGTGAAATGTCTTTGTAAATTGTATAGAAGATTTTAACCCATTTCACTCTAGGCCAAGTCTTGTGGGGACAAGAAAACGTGGTGGTCATGCAGCATCTGTTGTTTTACATCTGCTCCTTCTGCATATGAAGATTCCTTATGCTAGGCTGGCTGGTGAGGATACATGGTGCAATTATGGAAAAAAGAATAGTGACTAGGAAACAAAATTCGTAATAATTACCAAATTTACATTACACATTAATTGTTTCTTGGGGATATATGTTGTTATTACTAGTTTTAATGTATCTGTTTGTGGAATTCCTTAATCAGATGGTAGTGCAAAGCACTTGAAACAAATGTGAGCCTTTTTCTCTATTGATTCTGAACAGATTTCTTTCTCTACATCTTTCTGCTTTTGTCTCTGCATGGGATTCACATTTAACTGATATAAGGAATCAATCCTGTTGATAATTTTTAATGAAGCACTAATTCTACATTGACCTTTTTGTCATATCTAGAAGTTATATGTACTTTTTTTGAACTATGAGATAAATGATACCTCCACCTCTTTGTTTTTTACTTTTTTCTACCCTTTCATCTCTCTGTTCTTTTTGCTTGAGCAGAAATTATGTTGTTCAATTTATCATGGACTTAAGGATTCCATCTGCCACCACAAATATAAGTTCTCAATTTGAAGGTTACTATGTTCACCTGTCAAGACACAAGTTCGGCAGTCATGTGGTTGAAAAATGTCTTTCCGTATTCAATGATGAGAATAGGTCAAGAGTCATTCATGAACTGCTCTCTGCTCCTCACTTTGAACACTTGCTTCAAGATCCACATGCAAACTATGTTGTTCAATCAGCTCTTCGGCATTCTGAGGTTTGTAACATGATGACTACCTTATTTTCCTTTTCACTTCTTTACATATCCATGACAAAATGATCTGCTCAAAATCTTGCCATGCTATTATCTCTTAGCCAAAAGTTGTTGTCATCTACTAGTACTCTCTGATACTTCAACTGCAATTTTTTTTTGAAAATATTCCAATCGGTTCATTGCTTTGCAACTAATCCGATTCGGGACGGGTCCAAGATTAAGGCTTTAAACTCCTTCCAAAGATGGTACTGGGGAGATTCGAACACATGCTCTTATCCCTTCTACTGCAATTTTATATCTGTAGAAAAATGCATATAATTTTTGTACTCATTTTAGCAGTTTTTGGGCTTCATCAATGAAAGTTTTTTTATCCTGATGATACACTTGAGGTTTTTGTTTCTTCTTATTTTTAACTTTGCCTTTTTCCTTCCAAACTAGGGCCGTGTGCATAATTTACTAGTTGAAGCAGTTGAGTCCCACAAAGCCATTTCTCGAAATAGCCCCTATTCCAAGAAGATTTTCTCGCAGAAGCTTTTGAAGAAATGATGTATATTCTCCCCTTGTGCAAAGAAGTGTTGTAAAAGCTTGTTGAGGTCTGCCACTAGATATATATATGTTTTGCATGGTTATTTTAACAGTAGAAAGGAGTCAATATGTTTAGAAGTGCTTATATCCATCTGCTCAGCTAATTTTGGAAAAAGAAGGAACTAGAGAGCAGATAATTTTGCTAACATCTTAGACCTTTTGCATGTACTTTTTCTTGTATCTCTACTTGAATATTATCATCTTGTTAATTATGCTATTTTAATCTCATTGTGTGGGAATGTACAGTGTATAGAACAATGGGATTTTCGTTGTTATTGTACAATACTATGAGGAAGTTTTTCTGAATAACTTTATTTAGTAGTCTTAATGCAGTTAGTTTAACCTTTACCTTTAATCAATAAAAACTTTAATAAAATTTATTACTTTTATTACTTCATATTCACAACAATATCTGAACTCATAAATTCTATACTATTTGTTGACAAACACCACCTGGTGAAACCAGACACGCCAATGCACATAGTGGAATCAGTTGTCATCCAAAAAAGATAAGACCTAACTTGTCTAGGCAAAAAGTTACGCAAGACAAACTGATCAGCATTTACTCTCATTTCTATTTTTTTAATTCCTAAAAGGAACATATCATTTCTGAGCGTTAAAGCTTTTACACAAGGGGAATGATATATTTACTATTAAAAAAATTTATAATCTTTACAACTAATCTAATCATCATTGATTTTCGTCAATCTAACGATTATAATTTATTAAAAATTATTGAGTCGCATTTATTAATTAATTATTAATTTTCAATAAATTATAACCGTTAGATCGATAAAGATTAACGCTGATTAAATTAGTTGTAAAGATTATAAACTTTTTTTTGATGATAAGTATATCGTCCTCCTCTATGTAAACATATACTTTAACTCTCTGCTCGACAAATAAACTTGCTAAAGCGTCGTGGAACCCGTTGGTTAACAAACGCAAAATATTAAAGAAGAATACAAGAATTTCACGCGTGCAACCAATCCAAGTATACATGCATTCTAACCCTTCTTAATTTTAATCCTTCTTAGATAAATTTATTATTTCAAATGATGTATTATTTCATTAATGAATAATAATATTAAAATTTTTATATCAAGATAATATAAAAAATTATATAAATAATATAAAACAAATTAATTTGCTAACAACTAATCATCATCGCACAGATATTTTGCACTCAATCTTCAGACTTGATTAATTTATTTGTGATTTTTACCACACCAAGTGCATGTAGGCATGCATCATGCCTGCAGATTTTTTGCTAGGTTAATATGAAAAGCAGAAAAGTTATAGAGTAAAATATTTTTTAGTTTGTAACTCGAGGTAGCTCAGTTGGCAACTGAGCTTTCAAAGATTTGCTTGGGTTAGAGATTTAAATCTTGTCTCAAGCACATTCTTAAAAAATCTTTGAGGGCCAGAGAATATGTCTCTGTCCTCGAAGGGGGGTTTAGTCTCATCCTTCACCCGGTAGTGGAGCTCAATGCACCCGCTGTTCCAATGAGGAGCTAGCCTTCGGGCCGTACTCCGAAAACAAGGTGACCGGATGAGGTTGAATGAAATACTCTTCAAGTTATACCAAAAAAAAATATTTTTTGGTTCTAAATAAATATTATGAGGCCCAATTTAATTATTTAGAGAAAAAAAATTGACTCATAGTTCATCTAAAATTTAAAAGAGGCTTATGTTAGTTTTTTTCTTCAAGAATTAACATGAATATTTTTTTTAATTTCAGAAGGATTATAATTTTAATTAGCTGAATCTATTTTAAATTTTAAAAAGGCCACAAATCAATTGTGTTGGGGGATTAAATTTGATTTCGTGAATTTGGTTAAAAGCCAAAAAATACTTTATATACACGCGCGCCATAAACTTTTTCCAAGCGACAAATTTATTATATACACACAGTCTCATAAATAAAATATTCTATATTTATTTTTTCATCAATACAAAACAAAAAAACGCAGAACAACGGAGCACAAAAATGGCATGTGTTGAGTCTATAACGGGGTAGCACTGGTACAGCGTTGCATTCCCTATGAGTGGTCCCGGGACACGAGTCGGTATTCCAACAAGTAAAAGGATACGTGGACAAATAAAAACGCAGTAACTGATCGGATCTCAGTACTCACCTTCCGTCCACGAACCACGAATCTGGTATCCACGTGTCAGTTTCTGCGTGAGTAACCTTTGCTTCATTAATGTGTACTAAAAAACAGAGAAAGATATTAATTACTAATTAAAAAAGAAAAGAAAAGAAAACTTGTGTGGGTGAGTTGAGTTCAACGGAAAAGAAGCATCTGGAAGCTCCTAGGAATCCCAAACTGCAAAGCTGAACAAACCTAAAATCAAACCTTTCTCTTTGATTTTCCCTGAAATTTCGGTGTTCAGTTGGCTTAGCTGGATGCTCTCATAGTTCCAATTTCAGGTCCTTTTAATCTTCTTCTCACCCTTTTTTTTTCTACTTCAAGTCTTCTTGCAAAATAAATTAGGATTTTTCGTTTTATTCGATTTTATTCTTGGGATTTTTCACTTTTTTTTTTCGTAAACTGGCTAGTTATGGTTGCATGGTTTATTTGCTGTATTTTTTTAATTTATAGCATAGCGAAAGAGTCTGTGCCATATTTGGATGGTAAGGAAATGGTAGAAATGGAATTTTGAGTTTAAATTTCTGCGATTTGAATTGGCAATCTCTTGAGAATTTGGCCTATGGACGAGCTTTTGCGTTCTAGATCTTCTTCAACTTTCTGTTTTTGTCTTGTTTGTTTACTTTTATTTTTTTAATTATTTTTGGTGATTTTATTATGGCGTTTGTTACTGGAGAAACTGTAGTATAAGTTCATAAATAAGTAGAAATTTAGCTTTGGAAATTTTGATTTTGAAGGTTGTGGTTCATGTTTCAAGTTCGAAATGAGAGAGGATAATTATGATTGGTATGTGTGGCTTCTTTGCTGAGAGAGGGAATGAGATTTTGGGCTTTTTTTTATTACAGGCAATTTTATATGGTCTACTTTGTTTGGTTTATAGCTCATGGTAGGGAATAAGATATGGTTATTCTATAAATCTCCACGGCTAATGTTTAGGACAGGTTCTGTTTTAATGTTAATAATAAATAGAGCTCATAAGCCCCGAAAACCATCTTTGTGTTTGTGGTGCTGTTGAAACAGAAATAATTTGTAACTTTGAGACCGAGTACCATTGTGTTTCTTGACTGAAATGGTGGTAGTGGATTTAACTAAATTATTTGACAAATTCCTTTCCTATTTGATCTTTTCAAATTTGACAAAGATGATGGCATCGGTATTATGTCATAATAATCTTTGGCGGTTGCAGGACTCCAAAGAACGTTAAGAACTCACTGGTGGTTGCTGTTAGTTTCATTGATTATTGCTGTGCTTAATTTCTAAACGCAGTGGATGCAAGTGCTGATTAACACCTAATATATAAACCCTAATTCCTCTCCTTATAAGACATCAAATTACCATAATATGTTTCCTGAATTACATATTTACCTTACTCGTAATCTTAAACACAAAGGTTGTCAACCCTTCTCCCTGAGCTCAAGCTTGGATATATTTTTTATCCCTAGCTTACTAATACTTAAAGATAGTTGGAAAAATATCTGTAACTGAAAACTTTCCGAAACTTGTGACCTAAACTTTAGATATAAGATGCAAATTAACTATTATTTTCGTCTAACTAAAAGCATATAGCAATGTCGTTACTGCATTGCATTGTTGAAGTTTCCCTATGGGTGTTTACTTTTAATTTTAAATCATGATTCAATGTTAGACAGATGTCTTTACTGAGCATAAGTGCCTTTTCTGCATTGAACTCTATTAGAAATAATATTAATTTATTATTATTAGAATAGTCTAGAATAGTCTAGATTGTGGGCTTGGCCCATTAGGTCATCCCATTAGGTCTTTTAGCCTCTATAAATAGAGAGCCTCCTTGTACATACTTACATACTTGAATATACAATATATTTCAGATTCAATTTGGTATCAGAGCCTGGTTCTGAGGGCTCTGCTTCCGCATATATATCTTTTCCTTTCTTTTTACTGCCGTGCATCATACCGGCAACCATCCTTTCACACCTAACCCTTATTTAGTCACAAGTTTCTTGTCCTCAACCTCTTATCATCTAGAAAAAGATCGTCAGCCTCCGTTCATCGCCGGAAACCGCCACAAAACCACCGTTCGCCACTGTTCACCGCCGTCAGACTGCTTTTCCGGCGACTTTTCCGACCAACCACCACGCGATCAGGAGCGGCTCAGGGAGGCGACCCTGTCTGTCCAAACCGCGTGTTGATCGGAGCATCCACGCGCCGCCACGCGCCGGTTGAAGTCTCCGGCGGCCGAACCACTGTTCCAGCGCGTGAGCCACCGTTCGGCCACCGTTCCAGGCCGGACCACCACCATCTTGCTCGCCTCCTCACCCTCTTTCCAGATCTGGTCTCCGCTCGTTGTGGGTCCCATCCGTTTGAAAGATATCAGTGAAAAACCCGCTGTTTGGACACTTTTGTGCAACGTTTTTGCGCGATTTCTTGCTTTCTTGTAGTTCTTTGCTATTTTCTGGTCATCTCCTTTTATTTTGTGATGGAGGGCTCAAATAATGCGTCCAAAAACACGACTGGCATCATCTCCGATACTACCCCATCTCCATTCTTTTCTCGGGCCAGTGATTCCAATTGGAACAGTGGACGCGGTCGCAGACGTGGCCGCAGAAAGAGGCCTCGTTGTAATTATTGCCAGAATCTTGGGCATTTTGAAGAACGCTGCTATAGGAAGTACCCTCATTTGAAGCCACCGTCTGCCAAATTTGCTCAAACTGATGTTACGCCACCTTCAACTGGATTAGTAACTCTTTCAAGTGCCGACTATGAGGCACTTCTCAAGAAGGTTTCTTCTCAGCATCCTACTCAAGACACTGGTAATCATGTTGCTTGTTTTTATCAATCATCTCTTGGACCCTGGATAATAGACTCAGGTGCTACTCATCATCTTTGTGGTAATAAAGATCTCTTCACTTCACTTTCTTATTCTAATAACCTACCCCCTGTCACTCTTGCTGATGGCACTAAGGCTCCTGCTCGTGGAATTGGGGAAGCCAACCCAACTCCCCTTTTAACTTTGAGTTCTGTTTATTATATACCTGGCATTCCTTTTAATTTAATCTCTGTTAGCCAGTTGATTCATTCTCTTTCATGTACTATTACCTTCTCTAAACAATCCTTTTCTATGCAGGATTCGGGTACGGGGAAGACGATTGGAGCAGGCGTTGAGTCACGAGGTCTCTACTATCTGATTGCACCACCTTCTCCAGTAGCCTGTTCTCTCACAGAGTCTCCTGAGCTAATTCACAGCCGTCTGGGTCATCCAAACCTCTCCAAGCTTCAGCATATGGTTCCTTTTTTATCCAATCTTAAGTCTTTAAACTGTCATTCTTGTCAGCAAGGAAAACACACTCGCTCCTCCTTTGCTAATAGAGTCAATAAAAGAGCTGATGCTCCTTTTTCTATTGTTCATTCTGATATTTGGGGTCCGAGTCGAACAACGTCTGTTTTGGGTTTTCAGTATTTTGTCACCTTTATTGATGATTTCTCCCGTTGCACTTGGGTTTATTTAATGAAAAATCGTTCTGAGTTATTTTCAATTTATCAAAAGTTTTGTGCAGAAATAAAAACTCAATTTGGTGCTTCTATTCAAATCTTGCGCAGTGATAATGCAAAAGAGTATGTGTCTCTTGAATTTTCTAAATTTCTGGATACACAAGGGACGATACACCAGACTACCTGTCCCCACACTCCACAACAAAATGGAGTCGCTGAACGTAAAAATAGACATCTAGTTGAAACTGCACGTACCCTTCTCATTCATATGAACGTCCCACTCCGTTTTTGGGCAGATGCTATTATCACCTCATGTTTCCTTATCAACCGCATGCCCTCTTCTGTGCTAAATAATGATGTTCCCCACAGTATTTTGTTTTCCGGAGCACCTTCTTATCCTCTGCCTTTACATATTTTTGGCTGTACTTGTTTTGTTCATGATCTTACTCCAGGTAAAGACAAGTTGACATCCAAGGCCTTCAAATGTATTTTCCTTGGGTATACACGTTTTCAAAAAGGGTATCGTTGCTATTCTCCTGATCTCAAGCGTTATATCGTTTCTGCTGATGTCACTTTCCTTGATCAGCAGCCTTTTCACTCTACTCCGTCTCCAGTGTCCCAAGTTGATCAGGTCCTTCCTGTTCCTTTTCTTGACTTGTCTTTACCAGCTGCAGGTGACCCTATTCCAGAGGAGCAACCAATTACCTCCATACCTGCAGATCGTCCTCTCCTCACATACCAGCGTCGTCAGCCTGCACCTCCTCCGACTTTGCCTCTTGATGACTCATCGCCCTTTCCCGTCGGCTCTTCTCCTCCGGATCCTCCATCAGAGACTCCTCCCATTGCCCTTCGGAAAGGTATTCGATCCACTCGAAATCCTCATCCCCTTTATTCTTTCTTGAGTTATGACAGACTTTCTTCACAACATTTTACTTTTGTTTCTAGTCTCTCTTCTGTTTCCATCCCTAAAACCACAGGTGAAGCACTATCTCATCCAGGGTGGCGCCAGGCGATGCTTGATGAAATGCAGGCACTTCACTCCAATGGCACTTGGGATCTTGTTCGTGCTCCTCCCGGGAAGTCTGTTGTTGGTTGTCGATGGGTGTTCACAGTTAAAGTTGGTCCTGATGGCACTGTTGATCGCCTTAAAGCTCGCTTAGTGGCCAAGGGATACACACAGATCTTTGGTCTTGATTATGGGGATACCTTTTCTCCTGTTGCTAAGATGGCTTCTGTTCGCCTGTTTCTTGCCCTTGCCGCCATTCATCACTGGCCCCTTCTCCAACTTGATATTAAGAATGCTTTTCTACATGGTGACTTGCAGGAGGAAGTTTATATGGAGCAACCACCAGGTTTTGTTGCTCAGGGGGAGAGTTCTGGAATGATATGTAAACTTCGGAAATCTTTATATGGCCTGAAGCAATCTCCTCGGGCCTGGTTTAGCCGCTTTAGTTCAGTTGTTGAATCCTTTGGATTAATCAGAAGCAAAGCCGATCATTCTGTCTTTTACCGGCATAGCTCTTCTGGCCAGTGCGTTTATCTCCTGGTCTATGTTGATGACATTATCATTACAGGCAGTGATCAGACCGGGATTGATCAGTTGAAAGAGCATTTATTCAATCAATTTCAGACCAAAGATCTTGGCAGACTTCGATATTTCTTGGGGATCGAAGTTGCACAGTCTAGGCGGGGCATTTCCATCTGTCAGAGGAAGTATGCACTGGATATCCTAGATGAGACTGGCATGTTAGGCTGTAAACCCATTGATACACCTATGGACCCCAATGTTAAGTTATTACCAGGACAGGGGGAGCCACTGCCAGATCCTAGTCGCTACCGCCGACTAGTTGGAAAATTGAATTATCTTACTGTGACAAGGCCAGATATCTCCTTCGCAGTGAGTGTTGCAAGTCAATTTCTTGATTCTCCCTGTGACTCCCATTGGGATGCAGTTATTAGAATTCTCCGATATATTAAAAAGGCGCCAGGAAGAGGTTTATTATATACAAATAAAGGGAGTTCAGAGATCTCTAGTTATTCAGATGCTGACTGGGCAGGTTCTCCTTCAGATAGACGATCCACCTCAGGGTATTGTGTTCTCTTCGGAGGAAATTTGATCTCTTGGAAGAGTAAGAAGCAAACTGTGGTCGCCAGATCCAGTGCGGAGGCAGAATATCGGGCAATGGAAAATGCAACCTGTGAGCTCATCTGGCTGAGTCAATTGCTGAAGGAACTCCATCTCTGTGAACAAAGGCCTATGAAGCTCATTTGTGACAACCAAGCCGCTTTGCATATATCCTCTAACCCAGTCTTTCATGGACAACAACCAGAGGACCAAGCATATAGAAATTGACTGTCATTTTGTTAGAGAAAAGATCCAGTCAAGGGAGATCGAGACAACATTTGTCAATTCCAATGATCAACTTGCGGATGTATTCACTAAAGCTCTTAGAGGTCCCCGAATAGATCATATTTGTAACAAGCTGGAAGCTTTTGATATATACGCACCAGCTTGAGGGGGAGTGTTAGAAATAATATTAATTTATTATTATTAGAATAGTCTAGAATAGTCTAGATTGTGGGCTTGGCCCATTAGGTCTTTTAGCCTCTGTAAATAGAGAGCCTCCTTGTACATACTTACATACTTGAATATACAATATATTTCAGATTCAATTAACTCAAAGATTTTGTCATCTATTTTCAGTACTCCATTCAGAGCATCATATAGCAACATTAGAAACTTTTTTTCTCTCAGGATTTTGTGACACCCATTAAAATGAGTTTTGTCTCATTGGTAGCCTAGTGATGTCATATCTGCGGCATTATTCCCCAGAGTTTCATTACTATATGATTAGCATTCTGAAGTAATGAAGTCAACCTTAAGCATTTTGTGTGAGCTGGAGGAATGTGGCAAGTATCTATTCAGTGGCTGATCTTGATAATAAACAACTAAGAGCGTGCTTTAGTATAATGTGAACAACTCTACTGTTATTGAGGAGATCACTATTTGGACTTCATTTGATGTTTTTATTGCACTATTAATTTTATATCTGTTTTATTTTACTTTTGTGTGCAAATGTATTTTTGGTCTGTCCCTGTAGCATAATCTTGTTAGTAGGCTATTACGCAATCCAAGTTCAAGAGAACTAGGGATGAAGAAATGGTTTAATGACTCCAGAAACACTACTATTGACAAGCTAGTTGTTGATTGGTGGTGGGTGTAGCTGATGTTGTTGCTGTTAATGTGAAAGTTCCACCACTTGTTAAATGGTAAATTAAAAACTTTAACACGTATCCCTGTTTTCCTAATAGCAACAGTAAGATTGCTGCCTCTTGACCTAGTAGTCAGGAATTTAGTTGTGGAAATAGACTCTCCATTCACGGTAGTAAGGTGGTGTATATTTGACCCTCCGATACCCCAAATCGTAGGAGCCTGGAGCAGAACTTTTTTTTTTTCGAAGTGTCTCTCATCTCTATTCTTGCAAAGTCGAGTAGCTTTATGCACCAAAATTTGCCTTTTTTTTTTTTTTTAATTCAAATTCAGTGCTGAACTTTTTCTTCGAACACCCTGCAACTGTAGAAAGAACTGTGGCATGGGAGTTGCCAGTTAAGTATCCTTCTCTCTTTATATGATCGTACTAATTATATAATATTTTCCTAATTTATAGATTGAACAAGATGCACAGAATATATTTAAATACTTATCTCAGCACTTCTTTTCTAGTTAAAACTTTAAGGACAATCCTGTTTAATTTTTTATAAAAAGCTTCATCAAAACATTCTGACACAAAGCTTTAAAGAAGAATATTGTAGCCAGACCTTTAGAATTGCAAACACATCAGCAGTTTTTTTGCTTCTTTTTAAATAGAATATCGTAGCTGATCACCTGATTTGCAAACACATCAGCAGTTTGTTTCCTTCTTTCTCATTTCTAGGGATCTGATAAGCTACCTGAATGTGTGTCCTCTTTGCAAGTTATATTGGAATTTCTGAAATTATTATCACCTTTTTTTCCCCTCTCTTGGGTTTGATATATCTGTCTTGGTGTTACAGCTTAAAGATTATGCGTGGGATGAATTTAGTGAATCTGATTATTAAATAGCTGGGGAGGAACATAAGGACCAGTTTGCAATACAGGGAAATAGCTGTTAGAAATCACTTCATGAACTACATGGTATCAAAAGAAGTGCTGATTATGTGAGTAGTTATGGTACTCACTGTAAAGAGGAAATGTAGATACTAAATCTGAACCAGAAAGAAAAAATGCTGGAAAAGGGCTCATGGTCTCAAAATCCTGGAGGTCTATTTTCTTCACATGATAGTGATTCATGCAAAGAACCAAAAAGGCTAACTTCAGATAATACAAGGATGTCTGATCATTGTTTCAAGAGCAGCAATGAAGATTATAGTGGTAGCGAGCTTTGTGCAGATGATACTATCTTAGGAGACAAGTGTGTGATGGAGAATGATAATGTGTCTGAATATTCAATCAATCTCATATCTCAAACTGACAATGAACTCAGCTTTCTTGATAATGATGGGTGGCTGGATATAGGAAACTTTGAAGATATTGATAGGATGTTGTAAGAATTATCTTATTTGACAGAATTGTTTTTCACCTTTCAGTTTATCATGATCGCCATAAATATCTGAATATTACTTTTAAAATTGCAGAAGTTGTGAATTAACTTTTGGAATGGGGGACCTCAATAATGAAGAGGAGTTCTGCTGGCTCTCGTCATCACATGGAACTGAAGGATCTGATGATGCATTGAAGTCTGAGTTCAAGTTTCCATCTGCTCAAGCGAGTACATTGGAAAGTATATCAGATTATGAAATAGAGCCGAATGAAAATATTGAAGGTCTGTCAATTAATAATTGCAACAAAAAAGCATTTCCTATTGATAAAAAACGGAGGTCTCAAATGGATGTTGGTCATGATGCCGTCCCTGTCCCATTATCAACTTTCAGCGACCTAGACATGAAATTTGGTAATACAGATGATTCGATGCCTAAACAAAAGGTTGGCTACACCTTCTTCTTTTTTTTAAAAAAAAAAACCTTTAATTTTCAATTTTACATCTTAACTTGGATTCTGAATTCCTGAATTTCAAATTATGTAGCTATAATTCTGTATGAGTTCTTTTTCCAAACCACACACATGGAGACATATTTATACTCACAAAGTGGGCCTCTAAAATTCATATGACTTAATAAGTTTGACATTTGCCTCTGACCTTGTGAAAGTTGTTAATGCCATATAATTTAATTATTGAAGTCTAATAATACGTGAATGCTTTGTTGCAGGCACTAGACCTGATCATGTTTGACATTTTAATGCTATAATGTCAGAATTGAATATTCTAGAATTCAATTCAATACATTCTCCCATTTAAAAGAGGTTTATAGTTTATGGAATCAAATAAATTTCGATAATCGTTGACTGGTAAAACTTGATTTGAGGAATTGATACTCGATAGAAATTGGAATATCTAAACTTTTTAGCCTTCAAGATTATTATATGATTATATTCATGTCCTTGGAATTTTTATCTTGATTAAAGTTATAAGTACGTGCCAATGGGAATTAAGTAATTACTTTTTTATTGTTGTAAAACATGCTTTTCAATAGAAAATTGGGCCTGGCCTTAATGTAAATACCCAATTTCAGCTATTTCATTTTTTGGGTGATTTGTTGCCTTGTTCATGTTTTGTAGTAAAGGTGCTGACTGCTCAGTCTATTTAATTCATGTGAATTTATAAGCAAATAATTTCTTAGTTTGTATATCATAAACAATCTCCTTGTATGACAGATACAAGGGAAGCTGTCAAAGCCATCAGCAGGAAAGAGAAAAAATGGCTACCTAAAAAATGGTGATTCTGATCATCCCTATGCTCAAGTGGAGCAATATGCAAATCTGAAGGAGTCCTTTGGAGCCTCTTCTAGTGGGGTCACTTCTCAGGATAGCATCCACATACACAGACCAAAAATGGATTCTGGTTCTTTAGGATGTATACAGATAGAAAGTCCCCTAATGCACCCAGACAATAGTCATACTTCAAATTATACTTCCCTCCTGCCAACTTTGTCTGGATCAAGATCTGAACATGATGGACATCCATCTCCTTTTAAAGACTCATCATATGCATCAAACGTTGAGAATTCTTATGGTCATCCTTTGGAGTCTGCTGACTTGCAAACAAATGATAAGAGAGAAAATTCATATCTTTGCCGTGATGCACAATTGTTAAGTAGGGGTTTCAACAGTGAAAATATGGCAAGTCCTATGCCATTTCACAGTCTAGGTCCAGCTCAGAAGGTAGCTCCTGAGTTTGAAAATGAGAATGAAGGCTACGGTGAAGTTGGAGGAGTTAGCATAGGATTTTCACAAGAAATAGACTCATCAAATGTGCAGGAAGGCTCATCTATGAGCTCTGCACTAGATGAAATCTCCCTTGAAGCAACTAGCTTTCGCCAGCTGCAACAGGTCACAGATCAGGTATTGGAGTCTTTGTGATGTTGAAGTTTGATCCTGTGTTCTTCATTAGTGTCTTTTGGACTATGGAGTCAAAATTAACATGCCATGCGTCTGACTAATTTCAGTTTCTTCATGATGGTAGATTTTCTTCATTATGGTAATTCTGCTTGGCCGTATAGATCTTGTAAACATGGTGCTTCTGAAGCACAGTGATAGAACCAGCTAATAGCTCAAATACCAATTATTGAAATTAACTCAAAAGTTGGGAATTAGGAATTGGGAAAATATATAGTATAAGCTGAATTTTGATTATATCTTCATTGATAATTCCCTCCCCTCAAGACAACAGATGAGTTTCCTGATGCTGAGTGAGGTAGAAAATTACAATGATAACTCTCCTAACGTCCAGAAAAATCATAGTTTCTGCCTGCCCTTGCTTTTTGTCTTACTAACTGTCTAAATCCCCTACATATATTCAGTCAATCCTATTTATAAGCCCAATGACCTAATTATCTAATTATGTTGGGATTTCCCTAACTCCCGCTGTTTGGGAACATACTAGGCCTAACTAACCAAAGCTGGCCCACATGGCCCTAATGCTTCTTACTTCTTCTAACACAATTTCCTTATAACACAGCATGTTAGGAAGCTAACTTCTAGTATCATCCGAAATTCTGGGTTTAAGGAGGTTGTTATTATGGGTAGTCCAGAGTGAAGAAAATAGCTCTTTTTAAAAAAATAAAAAAATTATTCCATGTTGTGATGCTAAGAAAGTTATTACCTACGTATCCTCATATTCTAAAATCTATCACTCTTGGTTATAATATACTTTTCTGAACATAAAGTTTGCTTGATTGCAGTTGGATATCAGAACCAAACTATGCATAAGGGACAGTCTATACCGCTTGGCTAAGAGTGCTGAACAAAGACATTATGATGCCAATGCAAGTGGTCAAATTGGTAATGATGTTGAAGCATGCAAAGCAATAACGACAGAGGATGCAAACAGGTATTGCTCACTTTATGATTTCTTGTTCAGGTTTATATTTCTATTGACTACTAGGAAACTACAGTAGACATTTGGAAAGCTGATGCAACCTAATTTTGAATGAGTAGTTTCAAGGTCTGCTTATGTGGCACTTATAGTGTACTCAAAGATGTAGTATTCTATTTGTCATCGGATTCTTATATCAATATGTGACAAGTGAAATATTGATGACATGGAGAATGAAATATTTTTTTAGGTTAAAGGACAATATCACGAGAAAACATTTAAAGTCAGATAAAACGATTAGTACAGTATAATCCTGCTGCCCTTTTCCTCCCTTCGTGCCCCTTTTTCAAGGCATGTAAAATAGAATCGAGATTTTGTCAAGATTAAAATATAACTGAAGTATACTTACGTTACAAAAGTTCTAATGGGATTAAGAACTCTACAAATTCTAGTTAAAATAAAAAAGTTGCTCTGATATATCATATAGAACTTGGAAACTGTGTAAATCTATGATATATAAATGAATATGTTGACATTGCTATAACACAAAATCAATCTTATAACATCAAATAAGCTTTTGTAGGATGAACGCTAGGCTGGATTAAGATCCCATCATGTGAATATCAATTTATGCTACATTGGAGTAGCTTGAAATAAATATATTTTTTATAAATGCGTGAACATATCAACTACATGACAAATACTCGTTGATATCTAGTTTTTTCAAATTTTAGTAGCAAGATCAGCATGATGACTATTTGTAATTCAGTGTATGTATTAAGTGGGTGTATCTATACGAAATTTTACATTGATGTCTGTTAACGGACCCTATACATAATTTGTTTGTTGGTATAAAGACCTGAGATTTAGAAACTTATTTTGTATTTTAAACCCCCGTTATCTTTCCCCTAATCTGCACTATACATAAGAGCTTGGAGTACAGAAACTTTTTTGCTAAATATATCCGTCTGTATATGATTAATCACTATTTACTTCTTTTAAGTTTTGAGATATCCTTTTTACATGAGAAAAAATGGATGAGTCATCCTTTTACTTGAAATGTCCTGCAATCTAATTCTAACTTGAAAAGTCATTAATGAATCTAGTAAAAAAAAAATTGATTAACCTTCCTTTTACTTGAAATATCCTGCAACCTAGTTCTAACTTGAAATTTGGTCTAGGTTGAGTCACTACATGAACAGCATGTATTTGCTGACATATATTATCTAAAAATTTAAATTACTATAATCTAAATATCATTGAAAAGTTATTTACAAATGACATTTTTAAAAACAAATATTTTACTGGTACAATGGGCAATGAATGTTTCTCAGTATAAAGGAGAGGAAGAAAACAGGTATTTTCATGTTTTGCACTCCATTCTTTGCTCTTAGCTCCTATCCATTTCGGATATCTATGCAAAAATAATGTTTATTTATTAATCTTTTTTATGAATATAACACCTAGCTCTATCCAGGTGTACGGGATTCATGAACATGGAAACTAATACAAATCCCATTGATCGGTCTATAGCACACTTACTGTTTCACCGGCCCTCAGATCCATTAATGTTGCCCCTGAATGATACTACACCTTTCAAATCCGGTCCCATGGTATGCTTTTATGAATTATTAACATGCATCAGTTAAGTAGATAGTTATTATTTGCTGCTAGTCTCATGTTTTGGTTTAACTAACAGATACATGGATCGGTGACCAACTCACCAGTAATGACCGAGAAGCAAGTTTGTCAGGAAGAATCTTCTGCTGGAGTAGAAAAGAAGTTTTCAGGGGTAATAATGTCTAGTCAAAAATGAAACTAGCATTGGCATTATCTAGGTGTAAAGTGTCTTCTTTTCAAGTAAGTCATCGCATCACATATGATGTAAAAATATTTACCCGAGGCTTACTAAGATCTCTGTTAGTGATTCATTTTTTGTGTTCCATACCATTATCCTGATGTATAATTTTTCTGATCATCAGTACTAGGTAGTATATATGTAGAGTAATGCTACATCCACAACTCTTTTCATGTGAATGATACAATCGTCTGGCGCTGGCCGTTGATTTGATAAGTTTTCTGCCATTCAATGGTCTTCGTAGTTGTGACATTTTTAAAAGGTAACGGGGAAAAAGAATTGAGACTAGAACTCGATTATACCAGCTTAGTTTTTCTGATCATTTAGTATGCTGTTTATTGCTACTCGATTACCAATTTGACTTTGAAACATATTTGAAACACTGTTATTTGGGATTAAATGTGACTTTTACACCAGATGAAAGTTTGGTTTATGGGAATCTATTATCTCATATACTAAGATCGGATCATGTGAAAGGATCTTAGATATTGATAAATAAATCAACGGTTATGCTGTCCTATCCTTTATGTCAAATCATCGTTGATTTGTCTGTCAACGGGTAAAAATCTTTCATATAATCGAGTCATGGGAAATCCCACGTGAGGAGGATACTCTCTTATTTTATATTGTTTTGTCGTAATCTGTATCATTCATTAACACTTGCAGAATGAGAATATATAAGCAGTGGAGGAGACACTCCGCTTTCTATTATAAATTTATTAAGAATATTATTCTGAGACATTATTTTTCTTTTCAGAAATGCATTTATACTAGCATCCTACTTTACAATTACAATAACACATTAATTTAAAAGTTCTACCATTGTCTTAAACTGAAAATATAAATTTCATATTTAATCTTAAAATGAGAGGGGGAAAATTAAGCATTTATGGTCAAGAGAAAGGAAGGTTGAGTTGTTGTCAAGGAGGAGGGGAATTGGATAGGAGAAGTTATATTCTTGCGATCTACTGAATATGCTTTTGAAGGAATATTATTGAATTGAGATTTTAAAAAAAATTAGTGAATTATTTTTCGATCAAAAAATTCATTAGTACTCAATTAGGATTTTAAAGGACGGTAAAAAAGTTATGTGGTATTTGATTATGATTTTAAAAAAATTATTTTAGAATCCGTTTAAATTGGTAAGGAAAATAATTTTGTGGTATTCAAAAATTTGACAATATTAATGATTTTGCTGTTAATGTGAATTTTGTGAGACTTTTTAGTAAGAAGTATAAATACCATGTCTCTCACAATTTCACCCATAACCCTGAGATTTCTTGAGATTTCTCTATTGCGGTGATTCACAATCTACCCTAGTCTTTTCTCAAAGCCAAGGTATCTTTTTTGACTCTTATATATTTTCTCTGATTTTGGTATTTCTTATTCATGATTAATTGATGATTTATGATTGTTTTTGTCGTCTCTAACGATGTGTTCCATATTAAGCACACAATAAGAGACAATTTTAATATTCATTTGTTGAATAACAAGAAAATAATTGTTGTTGCTATTGCATAACTTATTTTCGTCACTAAGTTAAAAGAGCATATAGTTAACAAGTTTTGTTAAACAATTTATTGGTTGTATTTTCATTGAATTATTTGAGTTATTCATATGGGATTTTCTTGTTTAATTATTATCCTTTGATATTGATTTTAATTTCCTATATGAACACCATTTTATTATATATATATATATATATATATATATATATATATATATATATATATATATAAGCAGAATCCTTTGACAACGGTGTCACATTTTAAATTTGACATCTCATCTGAGAGTCGTTAGATCAAAAAAGATCAATGGTGTCACATGCTTACAAATCAGAGTCGTTGATCTTTTTGATCTAATGGCTCTCAGATGAGGTATCAAATTCGAAATTTGACACCAGTGTCAAAGAATTCTGCCTCGTATATATATATATATATATATATATATATATATATATATATATGTATATATATATATAATTGTTTTCATATACATAAAGAGAATGACATATTATAGTAAACATGGACACCTTTTAGTTTTCTTACAAATTTTATTTTTTTTCTTTTTAATTGTTTGCAATCTCGTATATTTATTTATGGCTTTAATATTTCTATAGCGAATGTAGATAAGTTATCTACATTCGTTCCCAAAATGACGTCATTTTGGGTTAAAAAATTAAAAAATTATAATAAAAAGACCATTATAACCTTGAAAAAAATTATAATTACAAAAATATCTTGATTCTGCCTCAAAATGACGTCGTTTTAGACTGAATGTAGATAAAATATTTACATTCACTATAGAAAAAGAGAACCTTATTTACAGGCTCTGTAACATCCTTTAAAATTAACTCTTATAAGGAATATTACATGATTTCTTTAAATTTATGTTTTCTCTTCATGTATAAACAATAAGAAATAAAATGGAGGGGTGTTAATGTAATTAATTAATATATATTGATTTATAAAATTTTACTATTGATAATAAGAAAATTTAAAAAGGACTATGTAAACATCTACCAACGTTACTTTATAAATAACACTAATTCAGGTACATAATACTGAAATTATTTTACATTGGTCCTACATTCTACTATCTATAACATCACTTTAACTTATTTTTTTTACATTCTGGCATTACATAATTATACAATAAAAAAGTCCTATCCTAATCTAATCTATAGGTGTAGGTCTCCTCACTTTCAGCATAGAATATTGCAGCAGCTCCTTGATTTTCTACTACAATATAAAATTCCATGCGATCATCGTAAGAGTAAACATTGATACTCCATCCTTCACCTGACAAGCTTAGGCTAGGCATTATGATTCTCTGGAAAGGTTAGCACAGAACAAAAACACAGGTGAGATAAATCTCAGTAATATTGAGATTTTCTAACTATAATCAAATCCATCCGTAGTAACCAAAAATACCATTCTCTCAGATAATTTCACAAAATGAAGTAATATAATAAATAATGCATTGTGTAATATTTAACTGAAGCTAAATAATTTTCCAACTTTGTGGTTCTCTGCATATGAAAGATTTATTGTGGAGGAGCTCAAACCACGATAAGGCGTCCCTTACCCTATAACCGTCTGAATCCAAACTCTGAGGGTCAGTTCATAGCCGTCTTCATCTGTTAAATTTACACATTCTCTTCATAATTATTTGGTACCAATAAATTATTCCACTTGATAATCAGTTTGTGAAAGGAAATCAAAATTAAAAGAAAATAAAGATACTGTAAAAAAATAAAATCACTGAATGAAAACAAACTACTGTAACGAAGTAAACTTGAAATAAAGAATAACAAGAGTTTGGCAATGTGAAGTAAAATAAATTTTCATTTTGAAGAAAAAAATGAAAGAATATTTTTTATCACCCAATATTACCTTCTCCTTTGTCACTTTCCTTCCTTCTTTTTGATCTCTCTTTTTTTCGCTCAGGTCCCTCTCTTTCTCTTCTCGTTGTTTTCTTCTTTTTTCTCCTTTTATGGATAGCGCGCGCGCGCACACACACACACACACACACACACATAGGGGTGTGCATGGAGCGGTTCATAACCGGTTTTAACAAAAATCGAACCGAACCGGTTTTAAACGGTTCGGTTTTCAAACCGAACCAGTTTTCTTCTTTTAAAACCGGTTTTTAATTTTCTAAACCAGTTTGAAACCGGTTCCAAAACCGATTTATGGTTTATAACTGGTTTTGATTTAAAACCAGTTTTAAACCGGTTTTGATTCAAAACAGGTTTTAAATCAAAATCGGTTATGAACCATAAATCGATTATCAAGTTCAAAACCATTTTTTTAACAAATTCAAAACCGGTTATTCACCATCAGATCCAGATTTATCGCCTTAATTTCTCACCTATTTATTTTGCTCTTAAGTCGCAACTCTAATTTAAATTTAAATTTTAAATTTAAATTAATCACACTCCTTCACTTGTTTTGATCGCAAGCTTTTCACTCGTTAGGATACATTAATAACTCACGGTTTGATACTCGCAAGCTTCTTCTTTTTATTTTTCAAAAAAAAAAAAACTCACAGTTAGATCTAATTTCTTTAGCTTAAACTTCTGTATTTTATAGCTGCTTCTGTATTCTTTAGCTTAACTTTTTTTTGCTAATTTATTGTTTGGAAATTTGAGTCAATTGACTAATATAATAGGCATAATAAAAGATAACACTTATTTGTTCTTTAATTGTAAAGCAGTTTGGTTATGGATAACCAATTATTTTTTGGTTTGGTTAATAAGCAGTTTATAAAATAAAATGCAGTTTCATATGAAATCGATTTTTAAAAATAACAGGTTTTTAAAATGTGAAGCAGTTTGGTTATGGATCAGTTTAGTTCTTTTGGACATTTTGAACTTCCATTCACACACACATATATATAAAGAGAGACTTGCTTACGTTCGAATCGTATTTCGTTAGCTTTTAACAAAACTAGTTAAATTGTAACTAATTAATCATTATTTTTCAGATGATAACTAACCACGTAATCATCAACGTAAACGTTTCTAGAAAAATTTTCGTAAGCGTTTATCAGATGCTTCCACGTTTTTCGTCATGTGTTTATATGTATAAGACTTTAATTACTTTCTATAGTTTATTTATATATACGTATATTCATTTATTTATCAATTATTATATTATTATTATATTTATTTTATTGTTATTATATTGTTTTTATATTAGTTTTTATTTATATTTTATTATTTAACAATTATATTACAATTATTGAATAACATCTATATATATATATATATATATATATATATATATATATATATATATATATATATATATACACGTAAACATATATATACATTTTCAAGATATTTGCGCTCAGGTAGCGCTCAAATATTCAAATCTCCACGTTAGGAGCGCTGCCTCAGCTCTAGTAGCTTCAAGAATTTTTTTTTTAATTTGAATATTACATTTCTCCTCTTTAAATTAAAATTTTGGCCTCAAAATTTCGATATACCTATTAAGAAAAATTCTGGATAATTCTATTGTAATTCTTCTCCTTTTTCCCACGTTGCTTCATATAGTGAAAGTCCTTCCCTCAATACTTTGATTAATGGAATCACTTTATTTCTCAGTTGCTTCATATTTTTATCAAGAATTTGAATTAGTCTGGTCTTAATAGTCAGATTCTCTTTAACTTGTACTGAGTCTAAATCAAGAATGTGAGAGGGATCTGTGACATATTTTCTAAGCTGAGAAACATGAAAAACATTGTGAAGATTGAAAAGATGAGATGGAAGAGCAAGTTGGTAAGCAAATGGCCCTATTTTTTGGAGTGTTTAAAATGGACCAATATACCTATGACTCAATTTCCTAACTTTAAGGGTTCTTCCTACACCTGTTGTAGGAGAAAGTTTAAGAA